AAAGCTGACGTTTTGGGCCTAGACCCTTCTTCAGAAATCTTCATTTCTGAAGAAGGGTCTAGGCCTGAAACGAAATGAAGATTTCTGAAGAAGGGTCTAGGCCCAAAACGTCAGCTTTCCTGCTCCTCTGATGCTGGTTGGCCTGCTGTGTTCTCCAGCTCTACACCTTGTTATCTCAGATTCTCCAGCATCTGCAGTTCCTACTATCTCTATATCCACTGAATGTTTTTTTAAAAATGTGTGCTGCACTAAAAAGTGAGAAAGGAATGGGAGGTAGTACAGCCATATCTTGTTTTGGTTGTTTCTGAACTTAAGATTCACATTGTTTTAAACATATCCATTCAAACTGTTTTGTGTTGTCTGTCCACTGATGACTTGTACTAATTGAAGCACGTTGGGTGAATGATTGAAAATATAGAGGAGAAGCCTAAGATCAGCCATGATCATATTGAATAGCAGAGCAAGCTTGACAGACCTTTTTTTTTTCCTACTATTTCTCATGTTATTTTGTTTATTCAAGAGGTAAAATTAATATATCTAAAGTCTGACATAACCCAATTTATAACAATACAGCATGCTTAAACAACAGTGGAAGTGAACTGGATATTTTTCTTCTACTCATGCTCTGAGTAGCCGTTGCTTATGCTCCAGTGATTTTCCAAAGTGCCACATTTCAAACGTGCATCAGGACAGCAAGTGTTAGCAGCATTCCTTTTTATTCTTTCTTGGGATGCATCACTGGCAATGCCAGTATTTGATGTTCACCCCTAATTGTCCTTGAGAAAACTGTGGTGTGGTACCTCCTTGAACTGCTATTGTCTAACTGATGTCGATGTATCTACAATGCTATTAGGAAATGGGAAAGAATATTTGCATCCTACAATAAGCTTGGTCTGTACATGTGCATTTTCCACCAGCATTCTACTGGATTACAGTTAGAAACATGAATGCTTGTCTCTATTTATTTTGAGGGGTCCAGGGGAGATTCACAAGAATGACCCTGGCAATGAAGGGCTTTTTCATATGAGCAGTGGTGGAGGACTCTGGGGCTGAACTCAATGGAATTTAGAAGGATGATGGGGGATCTCGTTGAAACTTACAGAATAATGAGACACCTGGAAATAATGGATGTGGAGAACATGTTTCACAATTAGGAGAGACTGGACCAAAGGACATAGTCTCTGAATGAAGAGACAAACCCTTTAGAACTGTGATGAGGAGGAATTTCTTCAGCCAGAGGGTGGTGAATCTGTGGAACCTGTTATCAGAGAATGCTGTGGAGGCCAAGTCATTGAGTGTATTTAAGATGGAGATAGGTTATTGATGAGTAAGGGGATCAAGGGTTATGGGGAGAAGGCAGGCGAATGGAATTGAGAGACATACCAGCCTTGCTGAAGTGGTGGAGCAGATTCAGTGGGCAAAATGGCTTAATTCTGCTCCTGTATCTTATGGTCATCCTAGATTATACCCCTTGACTGGGTTTATGCAGGAACAATGGATGTTGGAGTGAGATAATGTGAAGCTATTCCATTTTATCTAGCATGGGACAGGCCTTCGGGAGAAATGGGGAGAAAATTAAAAATGGCTTGCTATATTGTTCTGTTGTGATGAGTAATGGAGACCTATTTTCCTTTTTGTCTTCCTCTACTTTCTGACCAGGTTTGCTGAAGTATATCTGGGCTCTGAAAGTTCCGTCCGATGTGTCATGGAGCTACTTCCAAAAAGAGAACTTCATGGACAGAGACCAGAGGTCATGCCTTGCAACAAACAGAATCTCAACCAGTTTGAAGCACAATCCAAGAAAAGTAAATCTTTGGAAATTCTACACTACATTAGATCTTCATTAACCTCTTTTCAGACCTGTATGTTTATGATCCAGAGTAATACCTGTACGAGTGGAATGGTAGAAAACTGTTTCCTATCCAGTCATATTAGGGATTACTCTGGTCCCATGCTAGTAAGCCAGTAACTAACACTGGCTTTTTGTGGCACAATATGTTTCCATTTGGTTATTCTAGCACATGCAAAATTAAATGGAAGTATTGTCATTAGATAATGAACTGAAATAGTTCAATGGATACTAAATTTCAACTCCATACCTTTGTCATGTTAAGTTTTACAGGAGCAGGAAGACTTGTTGCTCTGAAATAGCTGTTCACCAATGGGAAAGCAAAAAGCCAATATTTTTCGAGAAAAATTGTTTCTACTGAAAAGCAGCAGTAAATTTAGCAAGTTTCAATACTGTTGAGTGGGTTAAGAGAAGTATTTCAGCTGTATATTACACAATCAGGCTGACAGTTTTGGCTCAGAGGGAATATGATTGGGGGTATTAATTCTCGTATTCACCATTGTTTTCACTCCCTACTCCTTAACAATTTAATATGACAAATGTTTCTGTTTTCATATTGTGAACTGTAAATGTGTTTAAATGGATATTTTGGAAATATGATGGAAGGAACAGTGCATAATATCGTATATTTTTTCAACAGATTTTCTTGTTGTGTTGTCCATTCCCATCAGTATTCCCAGAATCCACAATCTCCAGCATGTTGTGTTGCAATAAAATCTTGTATTTGTGCAATCAGTGCACAATGAGATCTAATTGTGCTGTGCAGTTGAGGGGGTAGAGAAACAAAGCATTTCGTGATGACGTCTTGAGACTTCAAACTGGACAGGTGATGTTTTGTGTGTTGTGCATCATTTCTCTTCACCCCTTCAAAGGTTTAGGGGTATGTTCTTCTCCAAAAGCCGGAAACATCCGTTGTACCACTACAAAACATGCTGACTTTACGTTTCTGTGTATCGACCCATAAACTTCAGAGCTGCTTGCCAGTCCAATTGCTTTATTTGTCTACTCCAGTTCAACGTGTGCCACATTCCTAATGCTTTCAGCATGATTAGTTTTGTCTTATGCACTTCAAAAGATAATTCCACTTTGTAAATATGATCCCATAAAGGGGTAGAATCCTAATCTCCCTTATTTATCAAAAATGATAATTTAATAGCATTTTCTGTAATTTTTTGTAATAGTTTTGAATGACGAGCGCTGTTAACATTGGGAACTGGCTAGGAGGAGTCACTGGGTCTAACAGTGTGAGGAGAATAAATTAACATGCAGTTAATTATTTTTGTCAATGCTACTTGGATCACTGTTTCTCTGAACTTCCCTTCTGTTCAATTTAAGCTTCAATCTTTTATTCTGTATCCTGTCCCTCGCTACGTCCCTTGTTATGTTGAATTCAGTATTGTTGCATAGTCTTGAGTTTCAACTCATGTTTTTTCTTGGTATTTATGGAACACAGGGCTCCTCACTTCCTGCAGCACTTCTTACCTAGTAAATCTACAGGATTTTAAAACCAAACTTGACGTTATTTAACTACTATTTCCTGATTCTTACTTTCTTTTAAACTTTCATGCTGTTTGTAATGTGAATCTTTGCCTAGTTTCTAAATGAAATGATTTTAAAAAAAATAGTTCAGCCTGCATCAGATCCTTGCCTCTTCCAGTCACCTTGACAAATTTACTCAAGCCGAGGGCAGTGATGATATTATGATGTTAATTCAGCTCCCTCACACTGTCAGGCCCTGTCTCTGTCAGTTTTGGAGTACTGAACAAATTTTCCCCCAAGCACCAATAACGTACTTATCTTTTAGACTGTGTTTGTACCCGTGTGTGATAACTATTGTATCTTTAAAATAAAACACATTGATCACACCAACCTACAATGAGGCTTGATGATACACTAATGTCATAAAGTCACCCTGTTTGATTTTACTTTGCAATGTTGCATCTGAAATTCATGAATTTCTGGTAAGTTGAAACAAAACTACATACAAGCTGGTTAAAAAATTATCAGGAAAAGAATATTTTTTTCTTAATCTGCATTACGTACCTTAGTCATTTTAGGATGAGCACTGGGCCAAGCAAAAGTTTCTATGTTTGTTGTTGGCATTGACATCCTAACATGTCATGTGATTGAGAGATTTTATTACTTTCATTCGTAGTGCCAACCAGCAGAAAGTTACCTGAATGAGGATCCATTTGGATCTGTTTTATTTTGGTATTGAATATTCCTTTAGTCCTTATTCTCCTAAAAGTATTCCGAACTGGGATGCTGCTTACCTTAATGTTTGTTTGCACCACAGCTATTTTCTATCTTTGTTTGCATGTAATTGGAATTCAATAATGGGACTTGTCCATCAGTCATTCGCTTAATTTCTTCAACGTCTCGCCATCTCTGCCCCTCCACTGCCTCTGTATCTCCTCTGTGCTTTCTCTTCCACCTTCTATCCTTCCTAACCTTTCTTTCTGTTCTGCCTTCATTTCCTCCTTTCTACATCCTGCTCTTGAGTCTGCATGCTCCCCCAATACATCCCCTCATCTGACTCACCAGCTCCTTCCACATCTCCCTTCCAAGCCTTCTGTTTAATGGCCCAATGAGACTGCTTTTTCTGATTCTTTCATCCAAATCCAACTCTCCCACCCTGCTACCCCTCCCTCCACTTCCCTCAACGCCACTTTGAACCTGCTTCTTCAGCCCATTCCACTGTACAACTTAGTTAACTGTACAAAACTCCTCACTGTTCTGTCTTCCTGCTTCTACCCCCTCATCCCCTCCTCCATATTCCACACCTCACTGCCATTTCCTGTTCACTCCATTCCCTATCCCCTGCTCATGCCTGCTTCCCCACACCTCCATCCCACTCTGTACCGCATCCCCTGTTTACTCATTTAATCCATTCTATACCTGTCTTGCACCTACCTGGTCCCTTGCTTTCTCTACCTTCCCCCATCCCATCCTATTTGCCCCGCTCCCCTTTCTTACTACTTACCCCATTTTTATCCTCTAGTTTCTTTTTTAAGGCTATTAATTATTGTTCAGACATTCTCCTTGGGCACCTTCAGCTCTCCACTAACTGGCTCATTCTTCATTTGAGACTAGTTTAATGCTCCTAACACCTGACAATCATCATTTGTATTTCAGATCAGGTGACTCTTGTCTTTATGACTTGAATAAATTGCAGTCTTCACTGTAAGACTGTTTGGTTTGAAACGGTGAATCAATCAAGCCAAATTTCATTCCTGTAGCTTGTTTTTGAACAATATGTGACAGTGATTAAATTTTGGGGGTTGGTGTTTTGGAGTGCCACAGGGATCTGTATTGGGGCCACAGTTATTTATAATTTAAATAGTTTTGATGACAGAAGTGATTGTACTATGTGAAGTTTGCAGATGACACAAATGCCGTTGAGAAAGCAAGTAGTGAGCATGCCACAAAGTTTACAGAGGGATATGGACAGGTTAAGTGAGCAGGCTAAATCTTGGCAGATGGAGTATAATGTGGGAAAATGTCAGGTTATGCACTTTGGCAGAAAAGAATAGGCAAGCTGAATATTATTTATATGAGGATAGCTTCAACACAGAGGGATTTGGGGATTCTTGTGCATGAATCACTAAAATCTAGCATATAAATTTAGTGAGTAATAGGGGAGGCATGTTGGCCTTTATTTCAAACGGAGTGGTGTACAATAATAGGGAGGGCTTGCTAAAGGTATACAAGGCACTAGGCAGACAACACCTAGAGAACAGTTTTGGTCACCTTATCTCCAGCATTGGAGGCAGTACAGAGAAGATTCAGTCTGTTGATCTCAAGTATGGGAGAACTTTTGTATGAGGAGAGGTTGAGTAGATTGGGCTGTATATATTGGAGTTTAGAAGAATGAGAGGAGCCTGAATGCAACATACAAGATCCTTGGGGAGCTTGATAGGGGAGATATGGAGAGGTTGTTTCTCCTTTTGGGCGAGCATAGGACCAGAAGGCATAATCTCCAAGTAAGGGATCTCCCTTCTAAGACAAAGATGAGAATTTTCTTCTCTCAGAAGATATTGTTTCTGTGGAATTTTTTTTTTACCACAGAGGGCTGTCAAGACTGAGGTAGATTTTTAATCTGTAGGAGAATCAATTATGGGGATGGGCAGGAAAACAAAATTGAGGATTATTAGATTAGCCATGTCCTTGTTGAATGGTGGAGTTGATGAGCTGAATGGCCTTCACCTTATGGTCTTATGGGAGGAGGAAGTAAATATTTGTGAGCTTGTAGGAAATGGAAGAGCAGAATGTCTCTGACTCCAAAATGTTCTTAACTATATAAATATAGACTCTATGCAGTTAAAGGGCATTTATCTTTCTATAAAAAACACCTACCTTTCTGAAGGTTGGTTATTGCTTAAAACATTTACTTTTGTCAGTTTTGAGTGTTTAGTGTTCTCACACTGGTTTAAAGTAAAGGTACCTGCTGGTAATGACACTGAGTTCAACTGACATCACCAGCCTTCTGACATCCTACCTACATGACTTCTGAAATATGAGAGTTTGGAACCACAGGTTTTCAGATTTTCCATGGGGGAAGAATTGCCTATAAATGTAGATAAAGCATTCATTCGTTGGATGTGGTTGTCACTTGCAAGGCCAACATTCATTTCCCGTGTCTAATTGCCCTCAAAAAGGTGGCAGTGAGTTGCATTCTTGATCTGTTGTAGTCTGTGATTTTATGCTGATGATACCTTTATGTAGCTTCTTGGCATAACTGAGAGGCTTGTTCAACCATTTCAGATGCCTTTATGAATCAACCATCAGCTATGGGTCTGGAATTACAAAGGCTGTTACAGTTGAGGACTAAGATTTGCTTCCCAGAAAGATATAAGTGAACTAGATGGGATTTTATAGCAATCTGGTAGTCTAGTGGTCACGATATTTGCTACTAGCTTTTTAAAATATTCATTCACAGAATGTGGGTATCAATGC